ACACACACGCACACACACACACACACACACACACACACACATACACGTTTGTCTACATCAACATCAAAATGAAGTCATACTATACACTTCTGTTGTTTTTCATAATAATAATGATAATAAATCTACAAATAACATTATAATAAATTAAAATTAAATTAAATTATATAACTTTTTAAAATTAAAACAACTGGAAAACTATATCTAAATTAAGTTTACAAATATGTAACTTAAAAATGAAGGAAATAAAAATAAAACAAAATTTTTATACCAAATTCAAACAATTATTTAAAAATATATATATTTTTTTACAATTGAGACATTTCTGGATATCCCCAAAAGTATTTTTTTCTCGGATCTAACTTGTGTGGACAATAGTGGAGACAACTGAACTCCACTTCCCCTAAAATATACACAAACATAAACACCTTATCTTAGTCTCATGCGTATGCACTTTCTGAATTAGATATCAAATATGCAAAACAGGAAACACAACATACTTTCTTATTTGGTACTGCATAAAACAGTGGCACTAATTGCAATATATTCAATGTAACTGCCAACTTGCTGTTCTTCTGGTACTTTTATTGGCTGTTTTATAATAGACCGATAGCACCCTGTCAGATTCCTTCAACTCAAATGTGAATGTGTGAATGTGATTGAGTCATTTGCATGAGGCTGTAACATGTTCAGAGTCAGAGTAGAATGACTGAGTTCTGGCTACAGTCAGATTCAAGGACGCCTGCTGACTAATTTTATCTTCGAGCATAAGTTCATCATTGATTTTCCTGCCACTGCAGAAACCGAGAGAGAAACACAATACAGCTACTAAGCTCCTCTACATGTCCACACTTAAACGTGCAGTCTGTCACTGTAAAATCGCTGTCACTAGAGCAACAAATGCTTATGAATGAAGAGCATCAATGTGTCTATGATGATTCTTCTTCGTTAGAGATACTCGAAGATGAATTTGGCAGTAGTGTTCAGCTATTTTTCTACCATATTACATGTCCTTCCTTAACACAATCAAGTGTTGCACACAGGGCCCAAAAATAACATTTGCCAATTGCAAAATGAAAGTAAAATTGACTTGGGTGAGTAGACTTTATTAGGAACTGCAACATAATAGTTTAAATCAAATTTTAAGTATGATAATCAGAATCTTGCTTATGTAAGCAACACAAGACAAATCAACTACTAAGGAAAACATCTGTTGAGAATTATAACAACTTTTACCTGGAAATTTACCACCAGAAGTGATATTTTTTTCTCCAGAACTCCATGTGGTGGCACATATGTAGACAATTTTTCACATTAGGCTCCCAAAATAAAAATATGATGAACAAAATCATGTGATTCTTCAAATGTTTCTATTTTTGTGATGGAGAGATGGAGACAAAATGATATAAAAGGAACTGGATTACCAATTCTGTTTACATTACAACAGTGTTCAGACTGTCAAACATGTATTTGCCACCAGTGGATTGTGAAATAGACATTTGGCTGCAAAACAATCTTCTACAAGTCTGCCTCAGGTTACACAATACAATGCTATACAATTCCACAGACTTTCACTTAATTTTCAGTTCACATTCTCTTCACACTGGGTCTGGATTGATTGATACTAGAGTAACAGTCACAGTGAAAGTTTAACCCAACGTAGTGCGTCAAACTATGCATCGTGAATGTGAAAACAGTTTCAGAGGGTCACTTCCTTTAGCCTGCTCCTGATAGCCATAACAGCCGGACAGGAAACATTGCCTGACACATTTCACCTGGCCCTGACACATCATATGTTTGGCTCCCAGCGTTCTGTCTGCTACTTAATGGTTAACAATAGAGCAGACGCTGAGCAATAGTTTCCACCCAGGAAAAATGGTGCGAGACAGATAAGAGAAACAGAAGCATGGAGGAGGGGAAGATAATGTGATGGAGTCCCTAGGTGTCCATTTGGCCATATGACTCCTCCCTTTATCTAATAATGCATTTTAAGGGAAGACTTTTCCTCATAACTTTGTAATTACGGTCTTATCTGCCTACATTAGGTCTGAGAGGCAGAATGGCAGTGAGACGGTTTGTTTTGCTTTCAGCTGATATCTGCAATACTCTTGTACTGATGCATTAGGTCAATTTTATGCTTCTTTATATACAAATTTGCTCACTATATTCCAAACACACTTGCTATGAAATGTTATTTGAAATTATGTTATGTATTTATTTGCTTTATTGAGTCTACATACTGCAAGTCATGATATTTGTCATGGTATCTGCTTGTAATTATTCCTAAATAAATTTTGGACTCTGACATGAATATTAATTTTTAGTTGAAATGATTATGTGACAATAAAGAGAAAAATAAAACATCACATAATGAACTGGTCATTTGGACAACAGTCAAATATAATGTCTAGCAGTAATTGTACAAAAACATTAAAATTCAGAATGATGCAGTTGACCATTCATAATGAAGTATTTCTATGTGTCATGTAATAAATATGGGTCAGTTCATCTCAGCTGTCTTGATCATTTTTTTTTATTACCTCCATATATGTAGTATGGTAAATCCAACAAATGTTTTATAAAGCATAAAGTAAAATAAAAGTAAAAATGGGTGGTTTTGCAATTGAGTTAATCACTGTGAATAAAAAACAAATAAAAAAAGATCAAGCAATTGACTTTTTGGACAATTTTTGAAATTATCTCTATATAAATATGAATGTGGCCCAAAAACAATATTAGATATTATGCAAAAATCTTAAAAATATTTGCTGCATTAATTCTGCAAGTGGAATTTCAAATATAATACCATTTCATTGTTTGAAAATTTTTCTTTAAAAATAAAAAAGTTGTTGGCAATTTCTAGAATGTGCTGCAAAAGTTCTGAAAAAAATAATATAAATATATAAATAAAAATAGTTCAAAGTCCGCTGAAGTCAAACTCTAATAAAACCAAATGAGAGTTGTGGAGCATTATTTGTATGCCGCACAACCTATGCCATGCATTCCAAATTGTTCACTCATGAGGTTTCAAGATACAGTAGTTACGAAAGCAGCTCCTTGTGTAGGCACTAGGCAGTAGGGAGCTCACAAGAATTTGGAACAGAGCTATGTCTGTGTATATTCCAGTAATTTGCTGCTGAAAAGCACAAAACATGTGTCCAACAATACACTAATCATCAGCCTTCACTATTTCCTTGTTTATACACCATGCATCTGATAATCAGAACAAGCTGACCTCAGCGCTTCAAAGCTGGCCAGATAAATCAGTCTACAGGCAGCTGGGCCCCGGCCCTAAAGGCTTGAGGTGGAGCTGAGCCACGTGGCCTGAGTTCTGGAGAACATTAGATACAGTGAGAGATCTTACCACCATAACCACAAACAGCAGGTCTAGGGCTCCACGGCCTCCACATCTTAAAGCTATTTTGAAAGCCTGTTTTTCTCTCTCTCTCCCTGTCCATCGACTCTCCAATCACTCATCAGACAAGCAGCTGCAATGGCTCACAGACCTGCCCACAAGCTGACACTGTAATCCTTAAGCACCAGCCCAGTGGCAACTTAAAAGCCCAGAGGTTCTAGAAAATGGGAGGGAAAGTGCTGTCTATTATTGTCATCCATGTTCAAGCATCTAATACTGATAGCAACCAATAAAAATACTGATGTAATCCTCAATATGCTCTGACACAATGCACTGTATTGCAATGTACTATTTAGTGAATATTCCCTATTGCGAGTGTATTTTATAAAGTGATCTCTTGAGTTTTCACTGCATGAAATAAACATGGACTTGACATAGAAATCTATAACACAGACAAGCATTTTAATGCTTTACCAAGCATGGAAACAGCCAGCTAGACTAACAAGTACAGTTCTAAGAAATCAATAACACACAGATAAACATTTAACAGGAGAGATGCAATTCATGCTCAACTTCACAAATGACATAAGAGTCCTGTGGAAAAAAAGCATAATTTAAGAGCAGAAGCACAGTGGGGCAGATGTGGAGGAGTGCACACGACAGTACAGTAAATATGCCGACCTGACAGAGAGAGTGAAATCTCCTGGGTTGCTCTTGCTGGGTCTCGCTAGAAAGCTACCATGGACGCCCCGTGTCAGGAGCAGGTGTTCTGCCTCGATCCCAGTGATGTTGGGATGAAACCACCTGAAATGAAAGCAAAATGACATGCTCAGCAAAGATGTCAAGACTTGATGATCAATAGCTAAGAAAGCATCTCATGATCAAAACTCATAAAAATATGCAAACCACTTCTTGTAAATGTACAGTGGGAGGCAAAAGTCTGACAAAGTCGCTAGTACAACTTTTATGCTTCATTTTTATACACTACTGTTGAAAAGTTGGGTCAGTAAGAAAAAATTATTACTTTTATTCAGCAAGTATGCTGAATACTTGATTAAAAGTGACAGTAAAGACATTTATGATGTTATATATATATATATATATATACGAACAATATAATGGTGTTAATGGGAAGACTAATTAAAAAGTAAGTAAACAACTCACACACTTAGAAATAACCAATTTGTTACATCAAAATAAGACTTGAATCATCCTGAAAACATGATCTGTGGGAGTTTTTAGTGAGTAATCAGCTTGGTGAAGTTTAAAGTAAACCTCTGTGTCTGTGACCAATATTTACTGAACTTTGAGGACTGATGATCTGAAAAATTCAAAAATAGTTAAAAGTTAACTATTAAAAAGTATAGCTGAACATAAGTTCACAAATAAAATATACTGTTTAAATATTTACTGCCTTTATTTATTATTGTGGAATAAATGTAAACTGCTAAACTTGACGAGATTCATACTTGGCTTAAATAAAAAGAATATTATATTGTTAATGTAAAAATATAAAATAGATTTTTTTCCTTTTTCTGATAGTGTAAGAAAATGTGATTGGGACATGATTTTAGTACACCACTGCAAACCACTGGTATATATATATGTATATATATATATATATATATATATATATGCGTTTCTGCATCCCGTGGCTCTCCAAAATCTTTGGCTCCTTTCCTTTGATCCACCCGTTTAGTGATGTCATCAAGTAAGCTTATCCATATGTATATTTGTGTCCAATTTCATGGTGAATGCCAGTTCTAATCAGTGACGATTGCTGTGTTTGAAAAGTTATTTCCTAATCCTTTGGGGTTGATTGGGAGGGTGGAAGGGGACGAGAGGCCATGTGTAATCTGGGCTAGTGTTGAGCCCCAGCTGTCTGGCTGCCTGCAGCCCGTCTGTTCATACACTGGCTCCCTCATGTGAGAAGGCTTTGTGAATGGCCGTCCAGGGGTCAGAAGTAATTTTATCGGTGTGCTGTTTCTAAGCGTGGCTGCCTGCTAGGGGCCCCATCTCTTAATCTCACTTTAAGTGACCACACGTGGGTCACTTACTTTCATCTTGACAGAACTGTGCAAATTCTGACCACATTGTATGATTGCTATTATATACACATTACAGTTCAAAGGTTTGGGGTCAGTAAGATTTTCAAGAAGCCTCTTCTGCACACCGAGGCTGAATTTATTTGATTAAAAATATAGTAAAAACAGTAATATTGTGAAATATTATATTAATAGAAAAGTATTCTCTATTTTAATACATTTTTAAATGTAATTTATTCCTGTGATGGCAAAACTGAATTTTCAGCATCATTATTCCAGTCTTCAGTGTCACATGATCCTTCAGAAATCACTTTAATATGCTGATTTAGTGTGCAAGAAACATTTCTTATTATTATCAATGTCGAAAACAGTTGTGTGGATTCTTTGATCAAAATTCAAAAGAAAAACATTTACATGTAATTATATCTTTTGTAACATTATAAATGGCTTTACTGTCACTTTTCATAAATTGAATGTGTCCTTGATCAAAAGTTATCAATTTCTTTTTTTTAAATCTTACTGTCTTCAAACTTTTGAATGGTAGTGAACACATCATTTGTCAAATAATCTGCCTTTAATTCTTAAGTGTTGAATATAATAACAAAATAATATATAAATCTATATTGTTTTACGTGAATTCTGTTCCAGTATAAATTAATTAAAGGAATATTCAAGATTCAATACAAGCAAAGCAGAATCTGGCTCTCATTACAGAAAACAATTCTCAAAAATGCATTTATACGTTAGCTAGCTAGATACCTTGGCGACATTGAAATCAGCAGAAAGGTACAACAAAACGGTACAATAGTACATTATACAAAACAAATGCTTAAGTTTGCAAGACAATTTTGGAGCACTTGAGATGGACCGACCCATATATTAGATATGAATTTAGGCCAAAAACAAAATAGCATTGTGGGATGCACAGAGTTGAAACCTATGCATCTATAAACAAACGTGCATGACAAAGAAATGTAAGATTTAGTGACAATGCACAGTTTTCAACCGAATCCTGGTGCAGTATTGTGAACAAGTCCAAATTTTCTACAGAGTGCCTCAAATGTTGTCTAAAGATTAACTTGTATTTAAAAGCAGAGGTCTCTTAATGAACAGATGTGAGTATTGCGTCTTACCCTGATACTGTGAGTTTAAACTCTAACTCATTATTCTCCCTCCATCTTTCCATGCAAAGCAAGTAAGCATCACTCACTTCCTCCAGTTCTTCACTGCAGAGGAAGTGTTGTAGCACCCTTGACGTTGTATCTTATTCGTGGAGGCATTAGTAATGCTCCCTGGTGTGAGCATTAGTAATCACTGTTTCACTGGTCAGAGGGGATGTTGAGAGTTCTGAATCTCTTTCCTCCTCGTCATGACTCACTGCTTATGATTCTGTTTGTCAGAAGGTCTATATTTTCCCCTCCTGTCACATCATCATTATGCATAGTCACTAACTTCCCAATCTTTTGTAAAGTTTGCCACTAAAGCAAAAATATTAAAATGTATGTGGATTAATAATTCATTGACATTTCTGTCAGCACTTTTCCTCCTGACTGTGACTTTCAAAAAAGCAAGTCCAAGCAAATATATCCTAGAAACAAATTTGTACACAAATGTATGTACATGTTTGGAATTGTAAAAGAAAAGAATATAAAACCACGTAACTGATTTACCATACCATATACAGGGAAAAATATTATTATATATTAATATTTAACACAATGTAAAATACACAATTATACTGTAAAACACTGAATGAACAATGGGTTTTGGAAGTAAAATGTCTGAATTACATTATAAATTATGCTCAAATATGTATAATATTCAACAAGACAAGATATTAATGTTTACATTAAAATATTACTGGTTATGTTTTTTGGTAAAGTACTTTTGTCATTTTGTGTGTGTGTGTGTATGTGTGTGTGTGTGTATGACAATGTGCACTGCCTATACATGTTTATTAGTTCTTGTTTTTGGAACTGACACTGTTTTAGTTGTTTAAAAATGAAAAAGTAATACATTTATATACATTTATTTCATACTAAGTATAGTTCAAATCTATTAACATATTTACTGAGATATTGCTCGAGACGTACTGATAAAAAAAATTATAATTTAACTTGTGCACAAAGCACATTTCTTAATATTAAGCCTAAAATGTGTTTTAATGTCACTATTGACGAGGATTGTATGATCTTTAAATAACATTGTTCTTTAAATGCAAGATATTTAAAGTGTAGCTGAAGTATACTTGCAATAGTTCCACTTTAGCACAATCAAATATACTTCAGCATGCCTTTAGTTGGACTTCTGCACTTCTGCACAAATAAAGTGCATTAAGCACAAAATTAGTTGTTCCAATTTAGCAGACTTCAAGTATACCAGTTTAGTATGCCAGTAGTACAGTTGCAGGGTATTTTTTATTAAACACATAAATATGTTAATGTATTTGTAGTATACTTAGCATTAAATAAATGTATTTCAAATACATTTTAGTATATTTATTTTTCACTAGGGATACCTTATGACATGTATTGCCACCCTGTATGAGTTTATTTTTTGAGGGAATTTCTGATAAATTCAGCTGATTTTTTTTTTTTACAGTGTACAGGGCATACAAAAAAATAGATATTTTAATATATCTATAAAATGCCCTGTATCATAAACATGCCCTATATGTCATGAAGAACTGAAAGAACGATAAAGCATTAAATGAGGTCTGTGCTGTATAGATAAACATGTCATCATACATCAGCTGATAATACATGGGCTCTACATCATTTCTGCAACATTAAAGCAAAAGACCAGAATATTCTGTTTTAGAATATTTAACTGAGACTTCAAATAATTCATTAGGATATGGAAAAATATGCAACCCACAAAAAA